ACTTGTGCACAGTTGACACTCGCAGCTTGTTGCTTAACAACCAAGAAGTAACAACTGTGACAGTGGTTAATTTACACTATGCATACATGTGTGTTTCTTTCTAGCACCCTTCTTGGTTTGCTTGCCCTTCTTCGTGTGACATTCTAATTTCTTGCTATCACATTCGCTGCTTCACCCTCGCCACAAACTTTTTTTTCACTTGCACTTTTGCAAAATGGGACCCGCGCCGCATTACTGCTTTAGAAATGGGGAGTTTGACAGGTTGACACGCCGATGTACCACATTTAGGAAGTCGTGATGTCGATATGAGAGTGCACTGCTCAGGAAATGGAAGAATTTTCAAGGATGGCAGAAAATTCCAGGACTTTCAAGGGCCATGAAAATGCATTTTTCAAATATAAGGGTTTTTTAAAGATTTCAAGGACCAGTACGAACCCCGTAAAAGCAGCGCTGCCACTGCGTATCATCATGCGAGAGCGAATACAGAAGAGGTATAGGGTGTTTCCACCCCCTGCTACAACTGCAAAACCAAAGACATACTAAGTAGGGCTAATTAAATATACAATACTAGAAAACATGCTTCCCTCCTTTCCAAATGCAGCCACCACAGAGAGTTACTATGACCATAGAGAGTTTCTGACTTAGATGTGATCATTCGAGTCAACCGCAAGCCTTTCTTGTACTTGCAGCGTAACAGCTGGTGGATTGATTGATTGATATGTGGGGTTTAACGTCCCAAAACCACCATAAGATTATGAAAGATGCCATAGTGGAGGGCCCCAGAAATTTCGACCACCTGGGGTTCTTTAATGTGTACCCAAATCTGAGCACACGGGCCTACAGCATTTCTGCCTGCATCGAAAATGCAGCCGCCTCTGCCACAGGGATTTGATCCCATGACCTGTGAGTCAGCATCCGAGGAGGAGCAACAGCTGGTGGTCGATTATTAATTTTCTATATTTGCAATCAATGTTGCAAAATTTTCAGTAGATGTGAGTGAGTGCCTTATTGCTGATAGCTATGTATTTTTCCTCCGTACTTTTGATCTGAATCTATTCGTCACTTTTTCGCTCTCATGTAAATAGTATGACGGAAAGACTGAAACGCCCGAACAGCCTTCTTGTTTCTTTTGATCACACCATTTCTGCTATATTAAACTCGTACTTACCACCTTACCAAATATTCTGTCCTACTTTTTCTCTGTTCTCCTATAATATTCCTGGATATTTCAAATGGAGACATTACTCAGCAAAGGAACGCAGTGAGCGTAATATTAACATGTGTTTCACATTTTGTCACAAAGACAAAATTTATCTTAGTTGCACAGTGCAATAACTCAGGAAGCTAATGATATGCCTGCTTAACATTTACAACCAGAGAGTTTCATTTTCCTAGGAATTCAGACTATAATAATCTCGCCTTACAAAACTGCTATCCCTTTCATATGGTCCTCATAATACCAAGACTGAATACCAAGACTAAGGACCTTAAATTACCAAAAAAAAAAAAAAACACATCAGTTCGCCTATATTGTCAGTTTTTACAGCGCTTCTAGTTGAAAGAGCGTGATCACTTAATAATGCCTCTAATCAGACCGCATAATGCCAATTCCAGAGTCTTACAAAAATCCCTAGATTCAACAAAAAAAGAAACCAAATCCCTGAAGGATTTTAAAATCCATAGATCTAGGGATAAATTCCTAGGGTTGGCATCGCTGCTGCCGGCACTCGGCTTCCCGAGCCTGTTTTCATAACCGTACTCCACTATCGGCCCAGCGAAGATGAGCTCTCGCACGTTTACACTGTTTACACTCTGCGATAGTTGTCCATGGCCAACTTATGTGGAGTCTTTCTACAGCAAGCGTGCTCTGCGCCATGGCAGTGACGAGATGGACGACGTCACTTTGAATGCAGCCAATGGCACACTTGGTTTAGGACACCTAGAAAGACATAACTGATATCACAGCCAATGGAGACCACTCTCCACTCTGACATCAATGCCGAACGGTTTAGGGATACGCAGGCCATGCTGGGCCCTGTGCGAGGCTTGCACATTGCTCAGTGTACATAGTTCGCGATTCGAGACAGTTGTGTCAGCATGGCGTCGAGGAAGTTCAAGCTTTTGTCGATTAAGGACAAGCTGAATATCCTTGCGGTCGTCGACAGGAACCCGAAGAGGAAGCGAATCGACATAGCAGACACACTTGGACTGCCAGTGTCTACTGTCAATACCGTGGGGTCAAGCGGAAAGATATCGAGACCAAGGCCTTGGTATTCAGTGGCGCAACAAAGCAAGCACGTGGAGCTTGCCATGGGGAGTTGGAAGCAAGCACGAGCCTCTAGAATTGACTTTGATGGCAGTGTGCAGTTGTTTCAAGAAGTGCTGCTTTCGGCAGCATCGTGCATAAGAGGATACAGAGCACAGCAAAGACGACCATGTGGCGTGCGCGTCTGACATCGATGACGACATCGATGAGGAGTTCCTCTCCACCGGCGCGCCGACGCACTCTGCACCGAGTTTGCCTCGATAGACGACAACGTCCCGACTTGCGAGTTGCAAAGTGTTGCTGAGGTTGTCGCGGAGGTGGTGTGGCGCGACGCAGCGGAGGATGTGGGGGACGAGGCACCGAAAGACAGTGGCGAGAACTAAAGCGTGCGCCCATTGGCTAACTTCGCCAAAGCCCTTGCAAGACTGAAAGCTTTACAAAGCTTCTTTTGCAGGGAAATCAATGAAAATGCAGACAAGGGTCTGCAACGTGTGCAAAATGAGCTTTTCTTGTTCAAGGGTGAGAGGCAGCAGCAGGAAATTGCAATGTTTTTCTGAGAAATAAATGTTTTCTTTCTCTTACACCTCTATATGAACTTGTCAGCCTCATTTTTTTCTGGGTTCGGAACTTACAATTATTTTTCGCATTTTTTTTTTCTCCGTAAAACATATCAACGAGGTTTTACTGTATACTGGCTAGTGTGCGGCCTAGTGTGCGTTCATATGGGAGGAGGTGCCAGTGCCAGTGATGCCTTCCAACCTTGGCCGGCAGGCAGAAATGCTTGTTGCCGGGTTTTCAACACGCATGTTTGTTGTAGGGTTTTTAACACGCGCCGGTGTATGTTAGTGCTTGTCTGTTATGTATGTTAGTGCATGTCTGGAGTTGTCGTGATGCCGTTTGTGCTGCTTTTATAGTGTTCATGCTGTGCTTCGTGTACGCATGTGTAAATTATTTTTTATTTATCTATGCATGTGAAAAAGCGCGAGAAGGCAGGCTACGTTAGAGACAGTTATCCCAACATCATGGTAGTAATATACAAGATGCACACAAAGATAAAAATAAAATGAATAAAGGAAGAAAAATAATCAAAGGCATTCTGTACACTCGCCCAAATCTTTAAGTATCGTGCGCAGCAGCGATTTTTCGCCTGTCAGCTCTACATGATGGAATGAAGTTCCAGAAAATTGTTTTGTGGGCACGTGGTATGTAGACATGCATGTGCCATCATCCTGTTTGGAACATAATTCAGTCATACAGTGAATAAATGCAGCAAAAATTGCCACTCGCACTTGATAGTTAAAGATTTGGGCTATTGTAGATACTATATAACCTAAAAGACATATGACACATGAGAACAGTCTACAAGCATAGTCTAGTTGATACAACCTGGTCACATCCCGAATAGAGTCCGTACAGGAACCTTTTTAGATGCAAAGCAGCTTTTTGACTAGCCGTGTAATGCTGTTCCATGCGTTTGCACAAACCCCCTTGCCGCAAACTTGGAGCGGTGCCAAGTAAGTCAAGTCGCAGCAGCGAATTGACGTCACTCTTGCCCTCACCCACAGCAGCTGCCGGCTTCTCTGCCCGCAACGCTCGACCACACATCGATTGGGAACACTAGAAAGATCTAGTTGCGCATCCGCAGCAGCTGTACAGGCGCGGCCTGCAACTGAAAATGGCTAGCAGGCTGCGTCCATACGGCTGCTGCGGACGCTCGACAAAATCTTGTTTATCTGCGATGAAACTTACACGAAACCCAAGTCGCCTCCCGTGTCTGCGTTAAAAAAAAAAAAAGGTGTTTACTTGAGTAATGGCTACATCAAGTTTCGCTTCAAACAATTCTTCCAGAACCCGCATTGACGCCCGTTTCAATTGGGTCAACGTCGTGCGCACCCCAGCTGCTTCGCATCCCATCAGGGTTCCTTCGGGGAGGTGGTCAATTTTCTATGCTCTCACATCTTGACTATGAGTCTCGATGCTAGGATCCAGGGGCAACAAGTACTATAAACAGTTAATTGAATTTGTGCCCATCAAAAAATCATAGGTCGCTTACTGCACGCATTTGATTACTAGGATGTGGCTATAGTCCAAGCCCTTTGCCGATTGTGAAAAGTGATATTTTGCGTTGCCAGCTGGTAAACAGTGCAATAAAAAAAGTATATCTGCAAAAAAAAAATCAAAACAAGGAAAACAAGGAAAAAGTGCCCGATGCGCTCAGCCACAGTGGTGACAGCTTAGATGACTTCAATGTTGCGTAGTGCAGTTAGCTTCCAAGCTATATTTTCTGTTGAAATTTGGTAGATTACATATGCATGTTCATAGGAGTTGACTAATATTTTGTGTCAGTACTCTTTTAGTCTGATTTAGTATTTGGTTCGTAAGCTACTTGGTATTCATACACACTTATTTAATGCAAACATGTACTCAGCAGCTGCAAAAGTGAAATGACTACCGCACGATGCATACTGCACAGATTTGTAGTGCACTTTGTAGCACAGAGCAGGGGCAGCATCAGGATTTGTTTTATTCGGCTAGGAAGGCATTCATGACATGCGAGGTCCTTCAGGGGGTCAGGCAGGATGAGAACTTATGCACTCTGTTTCGAATATGCTTGCTCCTGGGCAACGAGAGTGCACAAGGAAACTATAGCAAAGCAGCTGCCCCTGGCACAAAGGTTACACAACTAGAGTATATAGCCAAATCACTGAAGCTCATGATTGAAGAATCAACTCACCTAAACTCACTATGAGTCAGACATAAAGTTCACCTGGCTTTTCAGCTCTTCCAGCTCCTTAATAAGTTGTCGTAAAAATAGGGACCTGCAAAGAAAACAAACCTCAACTATACTGCCAAGCGTATTTCTGGGTTTTCACAGTACTACAACTTGATTGCATTCATGCCTTCCTGTGCGAAGTCATGATGAATGACTTCAAAGGCTGGCAATCCAAAAGTAAAATAAAAAAACCACAAGAGGAAGGGGAAAAAACCGTAAATGGGGTTGTGTGCGGCTGAAGCTGTCAAGTGGGCTTGTCTTCTGCCTTTTCAGCCTCAAAGAAGGCAAGTACACTTGACGGCTGAAGTTGTACACAAACCCTGTTAACAAATATTAAAAATTTTTTTTTTTCAGAATCTGCACTTCCAGCAGAGCCTATATGCAAGATACACACAACATTGGCAAAGCATTCAAAATAAGCAACTACTACACACAAAAGCCGTAGCAAAGAAGTGCTTTCAGGATACCTCTCAGAGTCTAGCTTGCTAAGATAATTCTGCCTTTCATTCCCACGACACAACTCAGCAGTCCTCGACGTCACTGCCCCTTGGCGTCCATCCACTCTGACAACGCCCAACTCCATCTTTTTTATTTTTTTGCAAATAGTTTGCATAGCAATGGCGACGCCAAGACGGAAGCAAATATGCTTGAAGCCCGTGTGCCGAGATTTATGTGAACGATAAAGAACCCGGGCCCAGGTGATCAAAATTCTTGACGCCCTTTACTATGGCGTTTCTCATAATCATATGGTGGTTTCAGGATGTTAAACCCCAAAGTAAAAATTTGAATGTTTCGAATGGGGCTAGATTCCCTGAACGTTTATATATTGTGCATGTCACGACGCCGCATTTTGAACATTTTACTGCCACTAAGAATATCAAGAAAGCGTTTCTGGCAGTGTAAAAAAAAAATCTCGCATGATGCATCCAGCCGGTCCTGCAAAAACATTTCATTTTTCTACATGATCATGCACAAGTTGAGCATGGCAAAAAAAGTTCAACACGGTGAAAAAAAAAAAAAAACTATTAGGAGCTATCAGACGACGGCGAGTGTTTGCATGCCTTATAAAGCGTTTAACTGAAACGCCACGCTTTTTTCCTGACTGTTGCTTTTGCAAGAGCTTTCATGGATACTTGCTGTGTGTGCAAGGACCCTTGCTTACAAAAGTGAGGCTGCACTTAGAAGAAAAGTACGAGCCAACAAAAGACTCATACTTTCCAGCTGTGTTCGATTCTATACCGCAGCCACCAGATAAAATCAATGTGCACTGTTCAGTGCCAACTGTGCCTTATCTGGTGAGGCAACATCGCGTCTTCGCTGCGGTTCCTGTGTGAACACGGTGAATCGGGGACTCACCTTGTTCACACAGGTTTCTCTCCTTTCTTCTAGTTGGTGTTTTTTTCGTGAAGTATTTTGGCACATCCGGAAACATTGTAATACGGCGTCCTCTGTTAGCAGCGGCCGATCACGTGGAATTCAAACTGCCTCACCACTTATGATATGACGATAAGTTCCTTGTATAAACGTTGCCTCGAAGTGCCGTTGACAAACGACGCAGTCGTTGGTTAGTTCCTTGTCAACCCCTTTTTCTATTACGAGCCCAAATCTACCGTCGAAGTGAATCCTTGGGAGATTCCTAACTAGTCCCAGTAGCCAACTGGGAATTAGCAACTGTTCCCAGTTGTCAATTAGGAATCATTTCCCAACTGGTCCCAGTAGGCAACGGGGAATTGGCAACTCGTCCCAGTTGCCAACTGGGAATGCATTTCCAACTAGAAATTTGTTCTTTACACCAGTTGAAACCAGTTGGAATTCTCAGTTACAAATTTTCACCTGAAGGGAAAGTTGACAAGATTGTATGTTTCACCTGCGGGTAAAAGCGCACGAGCGGGGTCGACAAGTGCTGCTCAAGCCAGGATCAAACGAGACGGCCTATCTTCATCAATTGGAAGGCGCATGCGATAACATCTCACCACATTTTGAGACTTGCCGTGGAATGCCCAAGCAGAAAGGAAGTGTGCCGTCCGTCTTGAATGAGCATGAAGAAAAATTGAGAGAGAGGGGTTTCATTCGAGCAGGAACTCTGATTATAAGGGCACGGTCGTGCGTGTGCTATCTCGACAGTGATCAGCGACTGGCTCGTATACCCTTCCAAGTGCTGCGCTTTCGACGTGAAGAGACTGGGCGAAAAGAGCATCTCTTCCTGGAGTGACTGCTTTCTCTTACACCAGCGTTTTGTAGTTATGTGAGATCGGATACAAAACAGTTAGCTGCTAGCCTAACTACGTATAACATTGCAATTTGTCGCTATTGCATTCACTATCGTATTTACTCGAATCTAACGTGAGTTTTTTCCAAAATTTCTTTGACGTGATTTGGGGGTCCGCATTATAATTAAAACACCTCAAATTGTGCCTTGGCAGTGCCACCCCACTGATTCCTTAAGGGGGGACGCGGGTCTTAGGCTGGTGAAAAATGGCCAAAAAGTCGATTTTGAGAAAATGCGATATTTGAGATTTTTAGACCTATAAGAACGTGTCCTCAAATTGTGAACGCTGAATTCGATCAGCAAATGAATTAAAATTGATTATGAAGTTGCCACGGGAGCCGCAAAACAACCCACGGCATGTCAAATTCGTTCAAACTTCCCGCGCGCGCCGCCGCCGAGGCAGTCGGCTGATCGCCGCCACCTTGGGCTTGTTTTGAAGCTGATTCCTCTGTGCGCATTTTTCCCACCCTTCAAAATGGCATCGCTTAAACAGAACAGCTACCCTCGCCCCTTTCCGGAGCCCCCTTCCGGGCCGCTGATTGGCCGGAGCGCGCGCACCAGGTGAGCCCCCTGTTCCTCGCTTCCCATTGGCTGATGCGGCCAAAGTTGCCTGCGCTTTTTTTTTGTATATTGTTCGTCGGCCGCCGGTTCCCGTTCGCGCACGTTGTTTGTTTGCTTCCTTCACATGCCTGCTTGCGCTACGCGACCGACACACTGACTTTCCGTCTTTTGCCGGCATGATTGGAGATGCTCGTCTAAAGAAAAAGTCGCGCCAAACATACGGCAAGAAACGAAGGCGCCCGTGGAACGCCCGCCAGAAGAAAGCAGCCGACAACGTGCAGCCGATTTCGCCCGATGCCGCCGAAGTGGCGTATTTAGACGACAGCGCGCAGCTGTGGCCGCTTGTGTCCGAAGCGGTGCACTCTCCTGTGCCTTGCAGCAGCACCTCATCGGATTGTGTCGTCGTTGGATGACCATCTTGCACTTCCAGCAGCATCCTAGACCGCATTGATATGGCATTTTATTCAGCGGACGAGTTTGCTGAGTGTGCGAGAAATGCAGCGGGCTTGAAGGCATCACTCCCATCGCAGTGCGCGACGGAACGAAAGTTCGGGTTACTAGATATTGATCTGGAGGATGGTGGCAAAGAAAACGGGACAGAATTTGTTATTGTTGATCTGGCAGCGATACGCTCGTTATTTGGACTTGTCGCGTGCCCAGAATGCGGTGACAGAAGCGTCACTATTTTAAAGGCCAAGAAAGAGTACGGGCTGTGTTCGAAGCTCATAGTGACGTGCGGCAGTTGTGACTTTCGCGAAGAGCGTTTTTCGTCCCCACGTATAGCCGACGAGACCGACGCCAAAATAAGGCCGTTTGAAGTTAATATGCGTGCCATGAAGGCCATCAACAGTATCGGCAAGGGGGCAACGGCTCTATCAGACTTCTTCGCCGGGATGAATATTTCGCATCGAGGGCTTCACCACCAGAGTTACCAAAGCAACATGAATATAATGAAAGAAGCCTGCTGTGCGACTGCTGCCGAATGCGAAGCGGCGAGCGATGCTCGCGTCAAGAAGCTCTATGCGGAGTTCGGCAACGCGCCCAGAAATGTGGACGTCATTTATGACGGCACCTGGCTTTCGCGTGGACATAGCTCGCATATATGTGTTGGCTGCATTGTTGAGATGTATAGTGGCCTTGTAATGGACCATATCGTGCTATCGAACTTTTGCCTGGCTTGCACCACAGGACCCAAGGAAAGAGAAGCAGGACATTCTGCCTGGCTCATTCAGGATGCCCCCCTGTGCTAGAGGAATGTTGATTGCAATGCTGCCCAGATGAAAGTGGAGGCAGCACTACGCTTGTTTGAGCAGACACTTGAAAAGCACAAGCTTCGTTATACGACAATGCTGTCGGACGGCGACAGCAGGACATTCCATGCACTCACAGAAAAAGGGGTGTACGGCTTCATAAAGGTGGCCAAAAAGGACTGCATAAATCATGTACACAAGCATATGAGAGCTGCCTTACGTACCCTTGTAGAGAAAAAAAAAGCTCAAGGTGGCTCACTTGGTGGAAAGGGCAGACTTACGCAACAAAAGATGAAAATCACCTCATACTATGGCTACGTATTGAGAAGCCACAGGAACGGTGTTCCAGGTATGCAGAAGGCTGTTCTAGCAACTTTGAACCACATGTCTTCAACTGACAAGGCACCAAAGCATGACCTTTGCCCTGAAGGCCCTGAATCCTGGTGCAAATTTCAGAGAGCTCTTGCGAAAAATGAGAAGCCGCCCCCACACAAGGACAGCCTGCCTGATTTCGTAACTGAGGCATTGGAGCCTGTGTTTAGGCAGCTGAGCGACAATGCCCTCTTGGAAAGGTGCAGCGATGGGATTACCCAGAAGCCAAGTGAGAGCCTGCACGCTATGATTTGGCAGCAGGCCCCCAAAACTCAGCATGCATCCTTGTGGAGCATTGAAAGGGCAGTTGCCGAAGCCATCAGCCGCTTCAACCAAGGCACAACCAAGAGCAACGTGGAAATTGCCGAGAAGCTGGGCTACAGCGCTGGCAATAACTTGGTGCGTCGCAGCCTTGAGAAGGACAAGGGCAGGCTGCAAAAATCGCGAAGAGCGCCTCTCGACAGCAGTTCAATAAAGGAAAGACTTTCAAAGCGTCACAAGCCAGCAGGGGACTCTGCTTACAGCCCTGGTCTGCTGTAAACAGTCATGATGGCAAATAGTGAGAATTCTTGCAAAAATAAATATTCTTAGTTT